AAGACAGGAAGGCAGCAGGAGGCCTTTCCTGGTCCTGCCACTCCCTGGGTGGCCCCAGGCAAATCATAGTCCCTTTCTGGGCCTCCAAGGTCTAAGCTAGGTGAAGGCTACAATCCCTCTGAATGCAAATTATAGACCCAGCTGGAGGCTTTCCCATGCCAGTCCTGACAATGGTCTGTCATTGGTGGCACCACACCCCTGATTGAAGAGAAGAGGGGATGGGAGGTGGCCAGGGCAAAGGACATGTGTGGAGGGGAGACAGAGGGCACCGGCTTCACCAGCTTGGCAGATCCGCCCATCACTGTGATGTGCCCTTCTGTCGCTGTGCCGTGCACCTGGGAGCCCCAGAGGCATTTGCCACAGTGGTCTCCCCTCCTTCTGCAATTTTGGCCCAGTCTAACTCTCGGATCTCCCTTCTGAAACACTTTTCCACTGGGTGGAGGTGCCTATGCCATAAAACATGCTTGCCCCAATAGATGTGACCCAGGGCCATTGAATGTACAATACAGCAGTCTATAAGCATCACACTCACACACTTCCAAACCGCCTTTACTCAGCACTAAGCGCATTAACAGAGATTGTGTTTTTAACGTATTTTTGAGGTAAAATCTTCACTACTCTGTAATCAATGAGTGTAATTGAACTAAATGAAGCCCTGGAAAATGCAAGCCAGAAGCACTTTCCTCAAAACTCTCCAGATAAAATAGTTGGATTTAAAAAATTGAATTATATGCTAAAATGGCTCAAATTTCTTTCTGCTCTATGCTCATAGAGACACATGGTTATGGAGTCACCAACGACGTTTTGAAAGACTACCTGTCTTCTGGAAAAATGAAAAGTATCGAACCCCTTTAAAAATGGCCTTGTATAAATTACATGAAATAATGTCCTCAGGCTAGTGTGCTCCTAGCTGGAATGATCAAGGGTGAATGCTATTGGGGGAAGGGTCACCTCTGCACACTTCAGCACACTGAAGCTTGGGCTGAAATTAATTAAGCCTGTAATTTCTCATTTTAAAAAAAAAGGCATTATAAGATTATTATAGGCATTATAAGTTGTTATGTAAGCACCACTTCAAAATCAAAGGATTCCAACAGTAAGTACAATCTAAGTTCTACCTAAAAATCTAAAGTCAGGTAGAACACGTAACTCTAATTGTAGACAGGACCCTTTTCAAACACCTATTTAGACCACCCAGTTTCTGCAGTATTGCCAAATTCTAAAATTGTAATGAAATTTTAAAGTCCAAAACCTACAAGCCATCAGAGGTTCAGTAACCAGGTTGTGCCATTTCAAAACTGAAAATGTGCTTACATAAGCAAGTCACCGGGGCTAACCTTTCTGGATTGGGTCTGGCCTTCAGCTCAGAACATGAATATGCCAGGGTCAGAAATGTGACAAAACTGAGCTTTCACGGAGGTTAGCCAAGGTTCACAGGGTCATGACTGGGCCATTTTATCAGTCATGTCAGCCTCACACCCTATTGCCTAGCTTAGATAAAAACTTTATCTGTCAGTTTGCTAACTCTACTCCTCCTGCCTTATTTTCAATAAAGAAAACCTGGACTCACTTATCTAAACCAGAGACTGGCCTTGCCCAGTACTGTTTTCATTGCAACTTCTGAGTAAAGGAAACACACCAATGATTTTTGGTCTCATTTTAGTCAATAACTGTCCATAACTGGAGTGACTGCCTTTCTCTTACCTAAAACCTTGATTTCAGAAAACAGTTGTTTGTGTGTGACAACATGGAATATGTTTAGTAAACATAATAAGTTTATGGTTGAAGGTGTTATATTAGAATATGATAGTGCTCAACGTGTTACCTTTTCAAAGTCATCTTTTCCTAAAGTAAAGTGAACCCCAAAAAATCTAAAATTAACTTTGATCAATTTTCCAAGTGGGAATCTAAATTACCATAGAAAAACTTACAAAGTTACCTTTGGACTAACACACGTCCAGATATAATATATATTTTCTGATAACTGTTAAGAGAAAAAAAAACAGCTAGCTAGAGCCTCTTCCTCACAGAAAGTATATACGCACAGATGACAAATAAAGTCCTATATGTAGACATTTAGAAATCTGGTTAAATACATTAAGTACATATATTAAACCGGCGAGTTTCCCCCCACAGGAATCTTAAATGCAAGACAAGCACCTTCCAATTTTACTTTATTTGGAAACTATACAAAATTTATTATTTTAATATTTAAAGACTGTGGTACTGTAGTAGAGGCACATAAATATTATAATATACATTTAGAAATTAAATATAATAAAATCAACACGACACTATGTAAAAACTCATATGTACATTTGCAATAAGTCCAAAGTCGAGGCATGTATGCCCATCAGGTTTCCCCCTGGAAACGGGTGAACCTTGCTGGGAGATCATCCACAGGGTACACGGTGGGGCTGGTTTTCATTGTAGGAGGTCCATTTAGAAGCCGCCAGTCACAATGCCTGGCCAGCTCCACTGTAAATATTTTGAGAAGAATTTTTGCAAACTCTTTCCCTACACAGCTCCTAAGGCCTCCTCCAAATGGAATGAAGCTAAACCTGGATGCGTCCTCAGGGTGCGGTAGCATAAATCGGTCAGGATTAAATTCCTCCTTGTTGGTGAAGATGTCTGCCACATCGTGAGTATCACAGATACTGTAGATAACATTCCAGCCCTTGGGAATCTGGTATCCCTACAAAAGATTATGAAGTCCTGAGGGCTGACAAACTGGAATCTAACTTTCAACAAAAAAGCTATCGCTGATATCTTTGGAGGCGTTCAGTTAAAAGAAAGGGTGGGAGGGATACAGACAGAGGACATTCAGGTTGCTGAAACATGTGTACACATGGGGCAGGACACTGTTATCAAAAGCATTAAGGAATTTAAGCCAATGCACAGAAAAGCGAGGGGAAATTTAAAACCACAACAAAAGGGAAAGGGGAGAACTTTTAACTTACATTTAATTCAAAAGTCTTAAGGGCAACCCGAAACCCTCCTGGAACTGGGGGATTCAGCCGAAGGGTCTCTTTAATAACACACCCAATGTATTTAAGCTGTTCCAAAATTTCCATGTCCAACTTGTTGTCTTGATTGCTCTTGCAAAGTAAACCCTATCAAAACCGAGGTGAATGGTTATTTTGTGCTCCAATAAAATCAGCCCAGCAGACATAAACAGGGCTTAAGTGGCGACTAGACCCGAAGGGCCCCATGGTGGAAGAGTGTGAAGGGGAAACCGTGAGCAGCTAGCGACCATTTGCCTCCACCCCTTGGCCCAAATCCACTATCTATTTACAATTCCAAGAGAATGCTGCTTACCAGTTAGAACCACCAAGCTTCTCCCCCATCCCCCTCACCACCACCCGCTGCCACCCACCTAGAAGTCCCCCTATTCATGCCCTTGAACACACAAATCCAAGTAAGTGGAACCTATCTGAAAATCTCCAAGGTTCTGTAAAAGGTAGAGAAAGGGCAGGAATGCTAGATCAAACCCTGCCCAGTGGGATCACAGCTCAAGATTCCTCTCTTTTTATTCACAGAGTGAATTCTCTTTGCCCTTGCTTGGTCCTGCACTTTAAAATACTCAGCAAAGTCAGCTTACTTATTGGGAAGTTGGCTAGGGAGCAGCGGGATTTCTTAAGCTAATAGGGACCACCCCCACCCCCCCTCCAAGAGTCCCCTACCTTATTCTTCAGCTCCTCTCGCACTTTCTGGAGAACATGTGGGTAGAGCCCCAGGTAAGTGATCAGAGATGTGGCTGCACTGGCCGTGGTTTCATGTCCCCCAAAGAGGAGTTCGGTTGAAGATTGCTTTAGTGCCTGAAAATGGAATAAAACGAACGTTTTTCCAAATCTGCATGCAATTTTACAGAGGGATTATTCAGAACCCAACTGAGGGTTCTGGATGGAAGAGGTCAAGGGCTAAATTTTGCTGACAGTCAAGGAAAGCGACATTTTAAAACGTAAAGTCCCATTAGTTCTGCTGAAACAGGAAGGCCAATAAAATCCCACTCTACCGGGAACTCTTGAATTAAAGCCTTAGTTGTAACATTAATATCGCCTAAGATTCTTTATTTACATTTTGCAAATTCCAACTTTCTCCTTAAAATATGGAAGGGCTCTAGGGGACTCTCCCTGTTCCGCTACAGCCTCTTGCACTGCTCTCCCGACCCAGCGGCTCAGCCTTCGGGGTCCCATCACTGAGGGCTGTGCAGGCTGACCACTCAGGGAAACTGGGCCTCAGGCCGGTGCTCTGGAGGCTCCAGGAACTGCTACTTGGAACGCCAGGGGACCAAACTCCGCAGTGCCCCTCCTGAAGCTGCCATTCACCTGCATATCCAGCCTCTCTCCCCTCTCCCACGAGTGTTCGATCAACAGCTGAAGCGCATCTTTGTAGCCCCCGCCCGCCTCCGCCGCCTGCAGCCCGCAGATCTTGGCGCGAATGTTCTCCTCGATGCGCGCGTGGATGAGGTTCCGCGCCTTCATGCCCTGAGCGCAAAGAGCGGACAGCGGTGAGCAGAGGCCGGGCACCCGCGCCCCGGGGACCCTAACTCCGCACCCTGCATGCCACCCTTACCCGGTATAACCCGCTAAAGGGCACGTCGATGGGCAACGAGAAGAGATTGCGAGTCATTTCTTCGAAGGCCTCCACCAGCTGCTGCTCCGCGTCCCCGCCGCTAGTTAGCCGGGGCTCGCAGCCCAGCAGGATGCGCATGGCGATGCGGAACATAAGGCGCTTCACCTGGGGGTAGACCAGGAGGCCGCGTTCGCCGCAGCTCAGCCACTGCTCCAGGCAGTTGCCCACTTCCTCCGCGATCACAGGCACGTAGCACTGGAGCGCTTCACGGCTGAAGGCCCGCATAATCACCTGAGCCCCGAAGAACGGAGAATATTAAAACCGCCCCTCTCGTCTTTCGGGATCTCCTACCAGACACCCCAACCCTGCCAGACCCAAGGCACTTCCCGGCTACGAAACTAAGCTGGGCTGGAGAGGGTCCTAGCCGACGTCTCCTGCAACTAGTGCTCGCCCAGCATCTCTCTGCCTGAACCCCTCCGGGGAATGGGGTCCCCCTTGCGGTACAGGCGCCTCCACCTCCGCCCTCACCTTCTTGCGCTGCTTGTGCGAGGAGTCGTGCAGATTAGAAAGGCAGCCGGAGCCCAGGACGGTGCGTACCGACGCGGGCCAGTGAACAGACACCAGTCGGTGCTCCCCGAGCAAGATGCGCCGCACGTTGTCGGCGCCCATCACCCGCACCGTGGGCCGCCCGAACAGATGCGTCTTGTAGATGAAGCCGTATTTCCTGCGCTTCATCTGCAGGAACTTCCTTCTCTGCGAGAGGAAAGTGGAGGAGAGAGGCGGGCGTGAGGGGGCGCCGGGGAGCGCCGCGCCTCGGGTTAGCCCTGATCCTAGCGGTAGTCACCTCCCTCCCGGGGGCGCTTACCCAGGCTTCAGTGGAAGCACGGAGCCGATTCGGGAGAATCGTCCTGTCCCGCCCCAAGCTCCCTTACCTGCAGCACCATCTGCAATGTTTCCCCAAAGAAGGGGAAGCCCATAGTTCCGGGGGGCAAAGGGAGGGCGCAGCTGCGGTCGCGGCTGCTCACGCAGTACAGGTCCCAGAGCTTAATCGCGGCCAGGAACAGCAGCAGCGGTAGCACGAAGGTGCAGAGCGCACTGGCCAGCAGTGCCAGGAGCCCCATGGCGCGCCGCGACCTCCCGCGCCACCTGCCGCCGCCGCCAGCGCCTCCGAACCCCGCCGCGCGCCAGCTTTATAGGCGGCCCAGGTTGCTGCCCACGTTACCTTGGTCAGACAAATTAGTTCACCCAAAGTTCATCTTTAATTGCGGATTGGGTCTCTGGCTCCTCCCCCCGCGAGGCGCTGCCCAAAATCTTTAACCGTTTGTTCCACACCGAGGCAGAGGCGGCGCGGTGGCGGCTTCCCTCGGAGCGCGCCTCCTGAGGCGCGGAGCTAGGAGCAGCCTGCCTCCCCCATCCAAGGTGTGCGGAGCTTTGAGGTGGCGGCAGAAGCCAACCCTAGCTCTAGGGAGCGGGAACGCCAAGCCTCGGGCTTCCTGGCGGTCTCTTTGGAATCCCTCCCGCGGGGTCCGACGGGCGGTTCCAGCCCAGAGCTGCCTTCACTGGTTTTCCATTTACAGGCGCCGCGTGGGATCCCTTTCACCTGCTGGGGAAGCGAAGGGAAGTGCGTTCAGGGATCGTCCAGCTGCCTTGTCCCACAGGTGGGAAACTGAGATCCTGCCTGAACGCAGAACAAAACGCAGGCCTCCCGACTCGTTCGAGGATCCCGCAGAAGAGCCCGCGGCCAGGACACAAGGGAGAGCCTCGGGGAGTCAGGCAGGACTGGAGGATCATGGATCTCAGTTCCCCAAATCCCTCAAGTGGTCCAGCACTCATGAAGCCTTCGAAAGTCCTACATAAGGGTACAATAGAGCCCCCAGGTCTCTCAGGACTCCAGGTGCAAACCTGCACTAGTCAGCCCCACCTCTGACGTCCCACTGGAGGACTTCGGGAGCAATTCCTCCGCGGCTCCGCAACCAGCGCTCTGCCATGTGGCCACAGCCGCCAGGATTCCGAGTACCCTGGGGCATACAGCCCCAGATAGGCAGAGGTGTTGAGGTCCTTAGCCCTGGCAGAGACCGAGAGAGAAACAGGAAAGCCTGGAGGTCTGGGCTCCGAATCCGGGCTCCATCTCTACTTGCATCACCTTGGGCAAGTCACCACACATCCTTGCGCCTGTTTCCTCCTCCTTAATTTGGAGGCCATCATTCCCGACCTGTTTATACCTCGGGATAGTTGTGAGTTTCCAAAAGGGGTTTTTGGTGGCAAATACTCCTCCCAGCTCCAGGCACGCTAGATTTCATTACCAGAGTGACCTGAACTCAAGGCACTGGAGTCTTCCTCCTCTCTTCCGGCTTCCACCCAGCGTAAAGCCCCCCGGGGGAGAGGGGGTGATCGGTCCTAGACCCAGGCCTCTGAGGACCGCTAATGGGAGTGTCGGGATCCGTACTGGGAAGGGGACCTGCTGGCCTTTGCCCAACTACAAGTCAGCTGCTACTGCAGCCAATGCCTGGAGATCCGGCACTGCGGGAAGCGCACGTGGGATCCCGGCTTCCCACCTGGCCGAGCCATTCCGCCTCAGACCAGGCAGGGCCACTCGCTGCCTTGGTTTGAGCGCAGAACGCACCAGCGGTGCCGAAGACGAAACATAATAATGTACGTTTGTTCAAAACTGAATACTGGCTCTTACAGGAGCCCTCCCGCACACCTTGGAGGTGGAAAATTCTTTGATCTTGAGAGCTGTTAAGTACATGATCCACCTGCAGTGGTCCTCAAAGCTAGTGGTATTGGGAGATGTCTGCGGAGTCCTAGGGCCCGCACAGACTCCGTAACACTCCAAGCCCGGGTCGCCACAGGGCGTTTCGGAGAGTCAACGTTTCCCTATAGTCCTACTTGGCGTTTCAGAGGCTCTAGCAAAGAGTCTCTCCCACAGGCATTTCTTCTAACGATCTGGCGACTGTTAACTGTACCAGCCAACTTCTGGGCTCCGGCAGAAACCGGAGCCAGAAGTGCTAGAGGTAATTCTCTGAAATCTCTCGGGCCACCCCTTTCTGGACAGTGCCTCCGGCCGGTGAGCAAAGCTAGCGAGCGGGGGCGTGACCTGGGGCCCAGGCCCAATTCTCCGGTCTGACCCGCCTGTGACCCATGCAGGCCGGACCATGACATCCGAGTGAACTCTGCAGGGCCACCTCGCCAAGTTCAGCGCGCGCTGGGTCACAAGATGAGCTGAGCGGGGCCTGTGGGCTGGAAATTGCCACGCGGTGGGGGGAGGAATGTTTTAATCTATCTGCCCATCGAGACCAAGGGGGTGTCCGGGCGGGGGGCGTCCAGCAGGAAAGGATTAAATAGGAGAGTGGAGATCATTAAAGAACATCTTGAAGGGGGGAAGGGGTCGATAAATTACCAGCTCAATAAAAACTTTGATCTAGAAACCTTGCCAAGCTTTCTTGGGTGGCGGTGGCCTGGGAGGGTTGGTTCACTGGAAAACAAAATGTTTCCAAGTTGTTTACAAGGCAGTCTCCCTGTGGCTAAGGGTGGGGGGTAGGGAGTAGCTTTTTGCTGGGGTAGGGGAATCAGGTGAGCGAGGGTAGCTGAAGCACCCATCCTATCCTTGTCTCCTTCAAGTCCTTTCCATTTCTTGAGTACTCAGTCCTGTCTCAGAGTTCTACGCCTGCTGTTTCCTCTGCTTGTGGTGCCCCTCTCCCAGGTCACCACTGGCTGGTTCCTCCCAAAGTTGAATGTCTCCTCCTCAGAGAGGTTTTCCCTGCCCACTTTGCCGAATTTAGGCCCCAGGCACTCAGCATTATAGGCATGTTTGGTTTTCTTGTCAGCATTTATCACCATTGGACATTCTTGTTCTTTTGTTTGCTAGTTTATTGTCCACCTTCTTCGTGAGCGTATCAAGTCCAGGAGGACAAGAACCACGTCTGCTCCTTCCTCAGAGGATCTGGAGCGACTAACACAGGGGCTCAGGTATTTTGTGAAATTATTGAAAATGATGGATCAAGGGGAAAGTAGAGTAAAATTGGAGCTGCCCCCTACAGGGCATTATAGTTAGTACAAATCCCAGATCAAGCAGGTAAACCAGGTCTCTTGGAATCAGCTATACTGTCAGGGCTCCCCAGAGTTCCCTCCCCATGTTTCTCCTCTTCCCCAAATCAGAACCAACCCCAAAACCTGGTCCTCCTGCCACCTCACCCTGGTGGAGCTTCTCAGGCTAGCTGTTGTCTGTGCAACCTCAGAGCGCCCTGAGGGCAAGCCCCAGTCCTTCCACTTTTGCAGGCTCGAGTGCCTGCGGAGCCCATGGCCTGGCGCCGGGCCTGTGGTGAGCAGGAGGTGATGAATTGCCCTGGATGGGGTTATGGTGATGTCAGCCGGGCTCGGAAGAGCCCGCTGCGCTCTTGAGCTAAGGCCCTGCCTACGCCTGCTGCTTTCCCCTTTCCTTCTGGTCCTGGGATCCACCTTAAGCATAAGGTCAGGAGGGCACCAGCTTCCTTCTGGTTCACTAAGGGGTCAGCTGGGGCCTGGGCGTCAACTTTCCTGGCTCACCCATCGCATCCAGCTGCCCCTGCCTGTCGGAAGATGGGTGGCAGGTTGAGGCTGTTGGGAATGAAGACACTGGAGGTTCTTGGCTTTGATTTAAACACTGGTGGGAACCTCTGTGTTGAAAAGGTCCAGAGAGTCTTTAAGCCAGCCTAAGGATCACTATAAAAGGAGAAAGGGCTAAGTCCTGGATGGTGGACACAGGCCCAGAGGCTGGGGGGAGGAAGGTAAGTGATGGAATGGAGGGAAGCACTGGTGTAGCAGCCCAGGAGCCCATTTTCTGGCTCCTCAGGTGAGTCTTTGGCCTCAGTTTCTCCTCTGTAATAGAGGAGGTGGAGGTAGTCACCGGGAAGATCCCTGCAGCCAGCTATCACGGAGATAATTCACAGCCCAGCTTCCAGGGCTATCCTGTGCTGAGAAGGCTGCCCCAGATACCGGCCCCTCTTTAGGTATATGTTGGGACCGGTCCTTCTGGGGGAGGGGAGGAGGAGTCTTTCCTGGGTGTCCTCTACCTCCTCCTCCTCAATGCCTTTCCACAAGGGAGCAGCTGCCCAGCTAAGCCCTAGCCTCCTCGCTCAACTGCTGCCAGGAAACTTTATTTCTTGTCCTTCCTGTTTTTGGTACATTTTTATCCCACACCTCTCTGATTATGTCTCAACCTCCCATGAAAATAATCCAGCCTTAGAGACATCTCGGTATGCCTATCCTCCCTGTATAAATGGGAAGATTAAATGAGTTCTTGAAGGATTTTTTTCTTTTAAGAAGTCGCCAGCAGAATCTGGTGATGTGGAGCCGCTTAGAGCTGGAAGCGCCCACAGTTCTGAGTTTCCGCCGAGACCCGCTGAGTGGCCACGGCGCACTGAGCGGAGGCCAGTTGCCTGAGGGCCTTCCGTTGGGCGCCTTCTCGGTGTGTCTTCCTATGGCCCAAAGCCAGGCAAGGGATGCGCTCCGGGCGTCTCCGCTTCCTTGCAAGGGTTGCAGGTACGGCCGTGTGAGGTGGGTCTCTGGCACGGTCCACAAGACGCAATCCTCCCCGCCGCCCACCATCCATCCACCCTCCCAGATTTGGCGCGAAAAGGCGAGGCCGCGTAGCTTCTAACGGAGTTCTGTTTCTTCCACCCGTTTCGGGATCCTGGGAAGGGTTTATGAGGGTTGGCCCACGACCTTTCCTTCCTCAAGGCGCCAAGCTCACAAGAGGCACCTTCTCACTGGCCAGGGCGCTTCTGTGGTGCCTTGACGGTGGCTCGCACTCCCCCTCCCTCAGAGTCTGGCACAGAGACTCACTCATTCGGTGACCGTTCGTTGAACGAGTGAGCGAGCACCGACCTGACACTGAGGAACCGCAGATGGGTGGCGCTGTGAGTGCACCAAAGTCATTGGCCAAGTCATGTCCTGCAGTACAGGGGGTCACAGGCGTAGTCCATCTCGCGCTGCCGAAGGCGCGAGCCGGTGGAAAAAGAGCCGTAGCCCGTCCACTGGGTGCACGATGGGCACGGTCTGCATGGCGGGGAAGTCAGGCGTGGCCAGTTCCCAGCGCGCCGTGCGCACCAGCTCCACCGCTAGCAGCTGGAGCACGGCCTGCGCCAGCTCCTGGCCGAGACAGCTGCGCGCACCGCCGCCGAATGGGATGTAATGGAAGCGGCCAGAGGGGCCCCGCGCATCCTCGCCCGCCGCGCCGAAGCGCTCGGGGTCGAAGCCCTCGGGTGGGCTGCGGTACACCGCAGCGGTCTCGTGCGTGTCCCGGATGCTATACATCACGCTCCAGCCCTTGGGGATCTGGTAACCCTGCGGGGAGGTGAGGAGACCCGCCTGACCATGAGGCACCAAGAAACCCGGCCTGAACCGACCCTCCGCCCCGGGTGCATCCAAGGCTTACGAAAACTGTCAAGAAAGCGCGTCTAACCCGGAAACTAGTAGATGGCTCTGCGTTCCAATCTCAGCTCCTTCTCTGGTGAGCTGTGTGACCTTGGGCTAGCTAGATACTCAATCTCTCTGTGCCTCAGTTTCTCAATTATAAAATAAGAACAAAAACGCCCATTTTGTTGTTGTAAGGATAGAATAACAGGTCTGATATGTGTATTAGTGGTCAGTAAATGTGATATTGTGATTTATGTTTCAATGTTTTGGTTTTGTCTTTTTTTTTTCAGACATTAGATCAGGAGACCTAAATTCTAGTCCTGCACCTATGAGCTGCCTGTGCCAGAACAACGCAGATGACAGGGACCCCCATTTCTCTGTGACCAGCTCAATTATAAAGCTCTTCTTTGCACTGAACTGAAAACTGCCTCTCCATCCGCCCCATCCATCAGCTAATCAATAATATTCGGGTCTGATAACTACACTTTTAGAAGGTGCACATTGAGAATTAAACTGGGGTAACCTTAAAACGTTGGAAAGCAGCTTTCATGTTCCCTCTGCTCCCTCCAGCTTTTTAAACAATTCCACTCTCTGAGGTGTCTTTCTCAACTCCCTGACTATCCTGCTGCCCTCACCTGATCAGATCCAAGGTACCCACTTGGAGGCTCTCAGCAGTGGAGAGATCTTCGAATCAGCCAGGAGCTCTTGCTCTCTCTCCTCTCTGGGCCTCAGTTTTCCCATCTGTAAACTGGAGGATGGCTAAGACCCCTGCCCTCTGCTCACCCTGATGGACCTGTGTTCCTCTCCCTCTGTTTCCCTAAGGTCCTGTAGGGCACCCCAGTGCCTGGAGAATAAAGTCTGAATTCTAAGATGCAGCATCCAAGACACTTCTAAACACCTCATTAATCTATCCACCTTTGTGGGGGCTGTCCCCCTCTCTGTTGGTGTGCTGTCCCCATCCTAACCCTTTACTGCTCCAACTCAAATGCCAACCCCCCAAAGTGTTTTGGTGTCATCTAGCTCTAGAGATCACTTTTGTCCTCACACCACAGTTTGGGACAAAGCTGTCAGCCCTGCCTCCCTTTCTCTCCTTGATGAGCAACTCCAGGGCAGAATCCCAGTCCCCATGGTGTCCTGGAACCCTGGTATGCAATGCACCACAGGTTGGATGTTCATGTTTAAAGTAAGGGTCAGGGGAGGAGGTGCCCACCCTGTCTGGAGCCTCCCAGCAACTAAGCTGGAGGGAAAGGGGACTGCAGAGGGAGAGGGGACTGCAGTGGCAGTCATTCAGTCAAGCACCCCTCAGTTTGGGAGTGCTAGGGCTCCACTCCTGGATGCTGCCACTGTGCCCAATAGCTGCGGCCCCACCTGGGGTGTCAGAGCTGGAAGGGACCAAAACAGCTTCCTTCCAGAGAGTAAACCGAGGCCCAGAGGGAGGTGAGAATTGCCCAAGGTCTTCACAGAGATGGGGCCAGGCCTAGACCATAACCTTCTTGCCCAGCCCAAGCCAGCCTGATCAGACCATTAAGAGGCTCTATCCCGTATTTCCATTGTCCTGTTTTTCTGGAGCCCTACCTTAGCCAAGGCTCTGAATAGGTTAACAGTGATCGGTTCCTTGATCTTGTGAGGGAGTCTGAGGGCTGGGGTACAGGATAGTGTGGGAGGCTCTCTTTGTTTTCCACCCAGACTCATTGCCTAAGAGGGGTTGCCATGCAGAGAAAAGTATGGGGTGGTTTTTTTTTTTTTAATTCTAAAACTCGGCTCTGGTTGAGTTGACCGACCCGTACTGCTGCCAAAATCAGCATATGGAGTCCCTAACCTTGTTGGCTTGCCAGGCACCCGGCTTGCGCCCCTCAACCGTGTTTCTAGGGAAATGGAACAGGGATTTACCCATTTTACTGGGCAGAAACGTAGGGCTCTGAGAGTGGAAGAGGAGACAGGCAGTCCTATTGTCCCCACCCTCCACCGGGCGCCCCCAGCCCCTTCCTTAACCTGGAGGCCGGCTTAACGGAGGTGCGGGCAGAAGGCTGGTGGGAGGGAGGGCGGGTGTGTATGTGGGTGCGGCGCACTTACATCGAGCTCGAAGGTACGAAGCGCTGTGCGGTAGCCCCCGGACACCGGCGGCAGGAGGCGCAGCACCTCCTTGACCACGCAGTCGACATAGCGCAGACGGCCCAGCGCCGCGAGGTTGAGGTCGGGCTCGCAGCTGCAGTCCGGCCAGGGCCCCGCGCCATCCCCTGCAGCCCCTGGCTTGCAGCTGCACGCGCACCCCAGCCCGTGCACCGCTAGCTCCTGCTGGATCTTGGTGATGGCTGCAGGGTGCTGCAGTAGCAGCAGGACCAGGGACGTGCTGGCACTGGCGGTGGTGAAAAAGGCAGCAAAGAGGAGCTCCACAGCGGACTCCTGCAAGACAGCCCGGGAGGCGCTGAGTCTAGTCAGCGGGCCCTGGCCTCCTGGTCCCAGGGCTGAGATGCGAAGGGCCCAAATTGACCGATGTGCAAAGGCCAGAGAGCCAGGATGTGCCACTGTGGTGGCTACGTGCGCAGTCCCAGGGTCGACTGAATCCCAAGTATGTCACTTAGGGAAGCCACATATAGCAATGGGCAAAACCAGAATGTAGCCACTTTCTTTGGGAAGGTTCCCAGAGATAATGCTAGGAGCTTGTTCTGTGGGTTGTTCTTAGTGCTTTAAGTGTATGAACTTATTGGACTCTTACCCAGAATCCATGAGGCACAATTACTGCCCTCTTTTGACAGAGTTGGAAACTGAGGCTCTGAAAGGTGCTTAAGGTCCCTACAGGCAGTAGTCTCAGCAGTCGGGCTCTGAGCCCAGTCCTCTTAACTGCCTGGTAGTGTCTGCAACCCCAGCTGGGTGTCCTGACAATGACTGCCGGGGAACTGAGGAAGGCACCTGCAGCAGCAACTCCAGCCTCACACCAATGCAGTCATCATAGCTTCTTCCTCCCACTTAGTGGAATGGTCTCAGTGAGCGACTAAACCTCTTAGTGATTTGCACTGCCCAGGAAGAACAGAGGAGGGACCTGGTAGTTTTATCGTCCAGGCCCTCACTGCCTGCCCTCAGCCCTCCCAACTCCCCACGGTTTGTGTTCATACACCGACTTGTGTGATCACAGTATGAACGTGAGATCCTCCCCTCCTGCACCTCAAGAGCAGGGGCTATGTCCCAGCATAGAGCCTGATACCCACGAGGTACATAATATTTGTGGAATGAATGACTCGGTCCAGGCTAAGTGCCTGCCCTGAACAAGATGGGAGCCAGGACAGAGACCTTAAAGCCAGCCCCAGCCCCCTCCCTGGCTAGGCCGAGCCTGCCTGGCCTGGCCTGCATCCCAGACCAGAACTGAAGATTCACGGGCAGCGGGTCTCTTCCTGAGAACCTGGGGCCCCCCCTCCCCAGCTCTGTCAAGACAGAGGGACCACCCATTCCATTCCACACCGCTCCTCTGCACCGCCCAGAACTGTTCCTCCAGGACTCTGGAGCCCACTGCTCATCTCCGTCTAACCCCCTTGACTTTCCCAGACTTTACAGCCACCCAGGAATCAGGGTAGAGATTATTAGCCCCATTCTCAGAGAAGAAACAAAGGTCACCCCACCCTTCGAGACTGGTAGAAAGGGGAAATGGTGACTCAGAGTAAGGGTGGGAGTTGCTTGTGGAAAGGCTGCAGTGTTCCCATTTCTAACTTTCTCCTGTCCCCCAATCTCTCCCCTCTTTTTTGGGTTCTCAGGCAGGTCCTGGGGGCCACCCAAAGCTTCCTCCCCCCACCTCCACTGCATGCACTCTGTGGGTACATGGGGAGGGGTTCCAATTCTCTGGGAGATCCTGCTGTGGTCAATCAGACAGGTAGAGGTGCCAGGTGCCAAGGTGCCTCATGGGAGGAGAGTATTGATTTCTGGGAGGATGAAGGGCGCTTCCAGGAGGATGTGAAGTTTGACCCTGAGCCCTTAGGTTTGCAGAGAAGAGGGCTTCATAGGTATGGGGACCACAGAGGCAAAGGCATGGAGTGACAGAGAAAATGGAGAGGGGAGTGGAGCTGTTTGTGGCCAGAACATGTAAGGAAGGGCCTAGGATCCCTGCCTTTGTCCATGCCTTGATCGGTCCTACTGATAGGGATGGCAACTGGCCCAAGGCCACAGAGCAAGTGGTTGTGGCTGAGCCATAGCTGGAACCCAGGTCTCCTTTATTCCCCTCCGTGGCTGTGCTTTAAAGTGGGGCCAAACAGGACATTGCTCTGGGGATGCAGCATGTGTGTAGAGACCTGCAAGGAATGCAAAAAGGGGAGAAGGAGAAACCTCTTTCACCTACCTTCAGCTCCTGCACTGAAAGCTCATGGCCCAGCTCCCTAGTGCTGTGGATAATCATGGCCAAGGCGTCATCTGGCTCCCCAGCCTGGTCTTCATGAAGTTTCTCTGCAATGGCCTCCTCCAGGTGCTGATGCAGCTGGTCCCGTGCCCGGATGCCCTGGTGCAGGAGGAGAGAAGGGAGGTGGGGCGGGAAGCCTGAGGGGGCCAGAGTTGGGCACCTACCCCTGAAATCTTCCCAGGGCTGCTCTGGCTCTGCTGAGTTCCTGGTGTTCACAGTTTCCCAGCTTCCCATATAGTAGGAGCTTAACAAATGCTCAGGAATTTGTCCACTCCCCCTACATATCATTCTGTCTTGATTATCACAAGCCCCCTTTGAGGCAGGCAAACAGTTGCTATCCTCCTGAGGAGAGAATACTGAGTCTCTAAGTGGATAAGTGATTGCCCAGTCACAGGGTCTTCAGTGCGCATGCCTGGCACAGAGTCGTGGGGGCGGAGCCAGCCCATTGCCCTTCCCCTGCACTGGACTCAGGCAGGGACAGTGGGCACCAGTGCAAAGAGCAAAGGACCCTTTGACGCACCCAGAAAAGCTCCGGCTTAGAGGACGCAATTGGATGTTTTAAGCACTAGCCTCTGTAAAGGCTTAGGCAAGAGAGCCCAGATGCCCCTCCAGAGTTGAGGGAGCAAACACAGCAAAAGCATTTGTGCACTTGAGATTTGTAGTCAGAGGAGATGGGGGTTCCAATTCTGCCTCTGCCTCTACTAGTTGTGTGATCTTGGGTAAGTCATTTAACCTCTCTCTCTGAGCTTCGGTTTCTTCAGCACATTGAGAACACTTTGCAGTCTGAGAGAATTAAGTCATGAAATGTATCCAAGGTGATCAACCCATATACTGTCCCTTTATACATAACTATTATTTTATTCAGGTGGCTGAAAACCAGTGCATTGGCACAGTGAGAAGCCCCCCTCTAGGGAGAAAGGAAAGGCGGGATGGGGTTTCCTAGCTGCTCTCTGGGCCTGGCCCTTGGCTCTGAAGTCTGAAGAGGCCGCGGTTCTCTGATCCGGAAACTAGCGGGCCCGGGGCCGCGGGCAGGGAGCCGGCACCCACCCCTCTCCAACCCTGGCTGGCGCCGGGCTGGGCCGGGGGCGTGTCTGCGGCCCTAATGCTCCCATCCGTTCCGCAGCCATCCGGGCTTCCAAAGGGGCGTTGGAGGCCTGGCCAGGAGGCGCCGCTCTGGGGAGGGGCTGGGCCGACTGGCCGGGAGCCCGCCACCTAGACCAAAGTCGGGAGGCCCGCAGCTGATGGGGCCAGAGCACGTACCATCAGGCGTGGCCCGGAGAGGGTGTGTGGCCTGCCCCGGGTCACACAGCGAGTCAGATGCCGCCTCCCCTCCCTGGATCGCGACTCCGTCCTCCAGCAAAGGGGACTTGTGGGGCACGCCGAGGGAGCCTAGTGTTGGTCTAGGAGACCCTCCCACACAGGGAGCCCCAAAAGGAAGGTCTGGAGCTGAGGAGACAGTACCTTGCGCAGGCCGCTGAAGGGAAAGTCCAGAGGCAGAGAGAAGAGGTTCTCCACGAACTGCTCGAAGGTCCGGGCCAGCTCCGTGCACTGCGCCTTATCCAGCCGTAGCCCCAATAAAATGAGCGCGGCCATTCGAAAGGTGAGGGCTTTGGTGGCCTCGTAGACCTCAACTGGCCCTCGAGTTGCGCACCAGGAGCGCACCTCACACCGCAGTGCCTCCTGCAGGCGGGGCACGTAGCGCTCCAGGGCCCCGCGGCTAAACACTCGTGCCAGGACCTGTGGGGAGCATGAGGAGTCAACCCTGGCCAGCTGTGGTCCGGCCTCCACTGTTCGCCGATTCCAGAGGAGCCAGAAGGCCAGTTTTGGGCCCTTCCTTCTCTTCTAAGTGGCCGGGCGGGACCTAAACGTTGTTGGCTTTTGCGCTCGCTATTCCCTCTAGTGCTTCTCTGATGTACACAGTCCCTCCCATCCATCCACATTCCAGCTGCCTCCTCCTCCAAGAAGTAGTCCTTAACCTGTCTCCAAGTTTCAGTTTCCAGTGCTTCTGGTATCAGAGTCACAGAAGATCGGAGATAATAGGATCTTAGGTCCCAGTCCTGGCCTTATAAACCGAAGCCGGAGAAGGTAAGCAGCTGGTCCAAGGCTCGTTAGCCAGGGGTCCCAGCCAGGTTCACAGTGTACCCCTAACACCTAGCTCCGGCCTGGCTCACAGCAGGTGCCCGAGAACCGCGGGTGTGACCTCCCGTCGGCTCCTTCTTTGGTTTTGGCTCACCTTGCGCCGCTGCCGGTGTGGCTCACCGACCGCGCCGAGCAGTGTGTGCGAGCCCAGCAGGATGTGCGCGCTCTGCGGCCACTGGCTGCGCACAAGGCGATGCTCGCCCAGCAGGATTGTGCGCACGTTCTCAGCGCCGCTCACGCGGATCACCGGCCTGCCCAGCAGGTGCGTCTTGAACACTGTCCCGTAGCGCTCTCGGCGGGAGCTGTGGAAGCGCGAACCCTGCGAGCGAGGAGCAGCGAAAAGGGCTGGGGCCGCTGGGGGTCTGGCCCAGGCGTCTCAACTGCCTCAGGAGAGCAACTCCCTGCTCCAAACTGGCGAGTTACTCTTTACAAAACAGTCTCCAACGGGCCTCGCGACTACCCTATGGGAATGTACATGCCCCTGTTCCCATTGGTGAGATGAGGAAACTGAGACTCAGAACGGGGACGGGAGCGCCCAAGAGCTCACGGCTGAGAACTGCCCGACTCCAGGTTCTATGCTTGCAGGACAGGGTGACGTGCTCCTCAGACTCCTTCCTAGAACCCTCTGTTCACCCTCGCGTTGTGTCGGGACGTGTTTAAAAGTTTAACTGGGGAGCGCTCCGGTGACAGTCCTTTCAAGGTAGCAGCTGGGCAAAGGCGAGAGCAGTGCGTGTTCTCTGGGGTCCTGGGCAACGCGGAGAGACTAGCTGCGAGCCTTGGGGCACTGAGAGCGAGGCGGGTTCAGTGGGAGCCAGGTAAGAAGGGGCCACATTGGGGTGAGGGGCACGACAGACTGCTCACCTGAACTAACCAGTGCAGCGTTTCGCCGAAGAAGGGCCAGCCCATGGAGCCCTTGGGCAGGGGCAGGGCGGAGGCCCGGTCTCGACTCAGCTTCCAGCGGAGGGTCCATAGGTGCTGGGCCAGGCTGAGCAGCAGCCCGGCGCACAGGAGAGCGGTGCCCGCCGCCCCCAGCACCGACAGGCAGCTCAGCCCGCAAGGGAACATGGTCACTCGGAGCACAGGGGTAGCAAGAGCTGCGGCGCAGGCAGCGCGAAGTGCTCACCTGTCCTGTCCGGAAAGGTCCTGGGGCTTGGGGGCCAAACCCAAGAGTTACCACCTCAGGCAAGGACTTCGCTCTCAAAGCCGACGGGCAGTGGAAGGTGGCAGTGACCATGCGCCCTTAAGGAACATGCCTTTCTCGAGGACTGCGCGCTCAGGACTTTTCCTCGCCGGGGTGTGGGCTGCCTCGGACAGACCGCTCACGCCCTGCATCCGCGGGCACCTCCCACCTCCGCCCAAGGCCAGCACTCCTTTGATAGAAGGAGCGAGAGCGGGTAAAGAGGAGCTACTCACCGGCGTTGCCAACCTGGGCTGTGATCACCACCCGGGCTGCAGACCCCTGCCCCACCTCTGTGTCTCTCCTCCAGGCTGTTAACCCTTCTCGGCCCACCTCAGACACATTTATATATATACTGACTCCCTCCCTACGGACTAAGCCCGATTGACACGATGTGACGCGCCCATGCATATTTAAAGCGCTCCACGCGGAGTAACGATTGGAGGTGGCGGGCAGCGCGCTCACGGAGGAGCTATGAGCAGGGCGTGGCAGCCGCCCCGGCTCAGCCCCCGCAGATCCTCGGGCGGGGCCTGCAGGTTCGCGGCAGAACTTCCCCGCTCCACGCGGAGCTCGGTGGCGGGCAAAGCGAGAGCACTGAGCTAACGCGCTCTCTCTGGGGTCCTCACCCTCGAGCTTGTAGGTGTCCCTTCCCCTCCCCGCCTTTAAGGCTAAGGGCTGGGGTTTCTCCCGTTTGCTGTTTCCCTTTCAGGGAAACTGCGGTCTTCCATGCCAGCTTCGGCATCACTGCAAGCGCCTGTAAGCATAGCCGGGGTCGAGATGCTCCGACATCGCCCACCCCTCCCCGGTCTGATCTACTTCAGGAATCCTTCAAAAGATGGTAGTGTCTGTCATTGCTGCGCAAAGCCTACAAGGAGCAGATATCCCCAGGAGCCTTTCGGGTCTCGAGGACCGAATTCACTGTTCCCACCCCCTCTCCCACCCTCACCCCCTCCGGTCAGTCTTCATGGTTGTTTGTCGGTCTTTTCGCGTCGCGTATGAGGGCTCCAAATACTCCAGGACTGGAGCGTCCCTGTACCGACAGCGCAATCAGAGGGATGGGGAAGTAAAGTGTAGGGTCCTTGTATTATTGAGAAGAGGAAAGTGAACTCAAGACCGCCCTAGCAGAGGACCCACAGTAGTCTGCTACAAAACAATGCAAAAGTGGCGTCTCTCCGAATCCCTGACGCCTGGCCAAAGCCGGGGAGACATCCTGAGTGCCCTGGAGGGCTGGGTAAGGCACGCGAGGGGCAGCCACATTCCAGTCTTCAAAGAGAGCTAACTGTTCACCGCTCCTGTTTTAACTTCTAAGAATTACCATGTTTTCCATGCAATAGTTTTTAAAGTGTGAAATACCTTAGGATATAGATCGTTAAAGAGAATAAATGTTTATTTTCTTTGTTTTGGTGATATCTCCAATCCAATAACTAGGGAATAATAGCTTTTCTGAAGGACGCAGTTGTTTTAAATCAGGAAGCTCTGAATAGATGCAATAGCAACTCATTTTCAACAACTTGCTCAACCTTTTTAATATTTCAGCACAAAATCAAGAAATGTACATAGAATTCTTTACACTTATTTTACAGAGTCAAGGATAAGTCTCTTATAGGCATAAATCCTGAAAATGCAAAAGAAGTATTCAGCATAAATACAATGAAGAGAAAGTAGGGGTCAGATTGATGTTACCATTTGGATCACGGTAATTTACACAAAGGAAAATGTACATTCTAGGTTTTCCAGAGTTCATTTGGTTTGGCTTGTTTCCACAGTGAGGATACGGTACAGAAATCTGCTATTTGGAGAAAGTAACCTGACCCCTGTGGTAACTTGTGTGTGTAGGAATATATCTACTCCCACATAAGCTGCACCTGAAGTGGTTAGCCCCACTTAGTTCCTGTCCTCTCTTTTAACTTGAACCAAACCAAACCAAATAAATCCTAGAATGGGGTCAGCTACAAACAATATAGTTAGAAATATAATCCTGCTGAACAGAAACAACACTGCCATCTTTAGAAAATCCAAAAACTTGTCTTCATATTCAGAACGATTAAATTAAGCCACCCAAGGAGAACAAATAATTCACATTCTTACTGAGTTAAATCAAGTTTGATCTCAGGAACCTTTAAAGATTTATCTATTTCCCCCTCAGAATCAGCAGAATTACAAAATTTTTGTCTACTTAAACCATATTGAGGTGAAAGTGAAAGCTAAAAGTAAGAAAATGACAGTGAAGTACTCTCATATCAGACATGACTGCATTCCAAAACCAGATAACTGATGAAAAAGAAAAATTCAAGTCTGAATAAAAAAAATAGTTATACATAGAGGCATAAGTTTTTCTAAAGTATTTACAATCGGTTTCATATACAATTTTTTACCTGATTTATATATTTTTTTAAAGTGAAAATATTAATGTCACATTTTCCATATACAAAATAGTATTCAATTATTTAAAAATCTATACAAATGATATTTATTATTGTCTCTTGTTTAAGCTCTCATCAGTGTCTCTTCTCGTATTTTTGAATTCTGCAAACCAATTACTGTTATAACCAGTGTCTGTTAGAGACCAATGTTGAATCACAAATTTGGTATCACTGAGTGCAAGCCATGTGAAATCTATGTGTGATGGGACATACCATTAACCAAACTTCTCAGTTGTTTCATGACTGTCTCTATCAACTTCTGTTTGTCTCGATCATTCTTCCTGAACTGAGCAAATATGTTGTTCTTTTTGTTAGTATCCTTCATCCTAGGAATATATGTGAATGAAGATGCTTAGTAAAAGGAAATTAATAGCTATGCTATCACAAGTAAAATATCTTGGCATGCTTTGAATTATCTCACATTAACTCTATGCTTGAAAAATAGATTTCAAAGAAAACAGGTACTAATAAAATCATGGAAATAACAACCACACAAAAAAACTAGCAGCTTTAGTTTACATTCTATGGGAAATGGTGTTTTTGCATTATTATGTAAATCTAAAGTATGTTAAGTTTTCTAATATTATACTATTTTCTAATATCATTCCATAAAGTATGCTAAAATACATACCCTCTATGGACTCTGCAAATCACATTCATAGCAAGACAAGGTGAAAGGAAAAATAACATTAGAAAATTTAAAGCAGCAATTTTTTTTTGCCTCAGTGGTGTTTCATGGTATTGTAAAATAAATTTACATTTATTTTAAACAGTTCCTTTTTTTCCTCTCAAATCAATACACCACATATATTTTGAAAAGTGAGAATATGTGCTTTTAATTCAAAATTGATAATTTTAATAGTAATACTTAAAAAGAAATGTGATTGTGTAAAAAGAAAACCTGCCACATAATTTGAAGGAAAAGTAATACCTAAGTGTGTGTTATTTTCAATTGGTCAAGATGCATCAGTTAATGTCCTGTTACTTCATTTTTACTATATTATTTTTCAAATCACATACTTCTCTACCTGCAAAGAACCCATGTTCATAATGGTGGGATTTTGATAGCAATCATTAGTAGCAAGCATTCCAACTCCTAGCCATATTTTACAAAATACTTTCTTTTCTACATTAGAGTATTTTTAAAAAATTGTTGCAATTCTCACTTGTCTCCAGCAAACATGTTTCTAAGGCTAATTAAGCCTGTTTATTGAGGATACAATAGGAAAAATGTTTTGTTCACATCAACATAAACAGAAATCTCATAAAAACTACACCAAATTAATGTTATTATACCAATACTGAAGGGCAAGAAAGAGGCTTATGTTGTAAGGTTCTTAAAATGGACTGAGCAGACATTTCTCTTTTGATGAAAATATCTAGTTCTTCAATTCTCACTGAATCACAAAATGCTAAAACGTTAAGCAAAAAAGTTATCAAATATACTCACTTCTCCAAAAGAGTAAGAGCTGTGTTTGGATTCACCCGGAGATACTTAGAAGCTGGCTGTCCATAGTCAGCTAGATAAGTAGACCAATCCCAAACCATAAACAGGTCAAGGAGCTAAGGAAGATGGGGAAAATGTTAAACCAACTTTTCACTATTTACCTATAGCTACTATATAAACTATATGCCTTTCTTGATCCATTTTAATATGACCTGCTTCTTAGATGGAACAGAATAAGGAAATTCAGTTTTAAAACTTCATTAACTACACTTTATAACTAAAATAGTACATACTATCGTTTTACTTTTGAAATCACTAAAATTGTCAGGGGTTGCTTTTCTAATAAAGTACTTGATTGCATTTTCAAATAATTATAAAATAATGAAACCACTCTTAATATAATTATATTAACACACTGAGGTACAGAGATTTAATTTTTACACATTATTCAGTTCATATTCAAATTTAATTAATAAGGGTTAGTGCTAATAACTGAAGAATTTTAAATAACTTAAATTGAACCTTTTCTCTTAGAGGTTAAGTATGTTTACCTTTCTAAGAAGCCATTTGCAACTAGACTTTCCCAAAGTAATTTAAACCAAAAGCTCAGATAATCTCAATTAAGTGCATTAAACAATCTCTGCTGGATTCTCCCTGGTGATAGATCCTCAGTAGTATTATGAAATGAGGGCTTCAGGACTCAGCATGTTAACTCTAGGTGATTATTTTATATAAACAAACAACAACAAAAAAGAAACCCTCTTGTTTTCCGTGCTGTTTTAAAATTGACTATTTGCTTTATAATCTCCAGTTAGAATTGTTGTCAAATATGGAAGTAATCTTTTAAAAGCAATGCTATGCCTAAACCAAAGCACCAAACTCCTTATCCAACTTTAAAACCCTAATCCCCTTTAAGCCATTTAAAGCCAACTTCCTATCCCCATTCGAATTGTTTCAGAAAGCTAAATGCTTTACTTACTCCCTTCCTTCAGTTTTTATATTATTCTTTCTTTTTTGTTTTAACTCACCTTATACGCAAGGAGTACATTGCTTTTGCTTTCGAATGAAGGAAGTATTTGCATGTACTCATAGGATACGTGAGGATAAAACCTAGGGTAGTTAAAACCTAAAGAAAGATTACAAGAAACTAGCTCTTCCTTAGGCAGGTAATAGACTTATTTGTCTCTTTTCCCATTCAATGTACATCTATGAATAGAGAATTTCTTGTAAAAGGAGGAAAATTTTATCAAGAAAATATTAACCACTATTGATATTAAAAAACCACTCTGTTCTCTTTCGGACAACATTCCAGGGCATACCAAAATTTAAAACACTGGTGCAGAAACTACACTGATACAATGTTAAAAGAATATACTGTCTAAAAAAAGAAAAGGGAACTTATTTAAAGTTTTGTTTAATTTTTGACTGTTGCAACAAGTACATTTTCCTCTCTTTTCACAAGGAGGAGAAGTTACTTTCATACACTCCAGTGGTGAAAATGTAAATTGGTGTAACTTCCCTGGAATGTGATTTTGCAATGTTTTTAAGAATCTTATA